AGATGACAGGACATAGTAAGAGTGTGACTGAGCAAGTATTGCAATGAGGCTTTATATCGAAGCTCAAGAATAGATGGTTCATAGATCTCATACCATGTGGCAAAGAAAATAGGCACTTCGAACACAAAATTCTGAGTAGTACCTTACCTTATACGAAATTATGCAAAACCCTGTATACCCCAAAGACCTGAAATCCTGATTCGGCACCTACAGCAGTCATCAAGCACACATAGCACGAAGGAATGAACTAATCACCCTCAATCAAATCAAAGTGAAATGTATCACCCACAAAAGAAATCAATTTGATAGGCCTAGGGGGGTTAGGGATCAAAGACTAAATCCGGGATCTTCTTCATCTGTAGGGCATGAGTTTACATAGTAGAATGTAGGATATTCATAGTATAAAAGGGGAGGAAGATGCGGAGGTGATACACACCCCTCCTTACCTGACAAACAAGAATTGAGAGTCGAGAATGAAGGTATCGAAAATACAAAATACTCTCATCCACCAAGCGGTACTGGATGTATTTGCATTAGAGGTATGGATCTTAGTTGGGGCATTCAGCACTTCAGTACTAACGATCGGATTGATCTATTGGTTTAGCTAAACGCTGACAAAGACCCGGAGAAATATCTTCGAATTCCATCGTGGATGGGGTACTATGTTGTTCTCCAACAAGTTGCATTAGGGGGAATGCATACGTCTAGCCCTGTTTCAGAGAAATTTTTTGTGAGTTCAGCTGGTCAATGATGGTTCGAAGTTCATTACTTACCTAGGCTTTGCTCTACACAGAACGAGATTCAACTTCGAGGTTTGGTGGGTATAAACATATATATATATATCACAGGTTTTGGTCAAACTTTCAGCATCTTCTGGTTTATTTACCGCATGAACGACATTCTAATCAGTGGTTTACCTTTCTGTTGTAGATCTTGAAACCTCCATCAGGGAGGACATATCCCTTCCCTGCACGTCGGTAATACCTGTGCCAAGAGCATAGGGAAGGCATTCGTACAGTTATATCGCGTGTTGAAAGCCCGGAAATAGTTCGCGTTCGTGGTATGCACTGTAGTATTGAGAAATCAACGTCGACTTTGAATGATCACACTGTGAGAAAGTTACGATCACATGTTCGTTGTACGGTTGAATACAACTCTTACTTCAACGATGAGTACACAGCCTGTACAAATCGTTGCTCGAATACGACCTCCGCTCCTCAATGAGCACACTGACGATGCCCTCTCTGTCGTTCCGATTCCCGCCGACCACACCTTATCCGCTGCCCGACCCATTCCGTTTACTTCCTGGGTCTCGGTATCCTCAACTGGTACAAAGACTGGTACAACTCAAATCCAAAACTCGCAAACGGCATTTCATACAGCCTTTGGACCTGATACGACCCAACTAGAACTTTTTGACACAGCTGTGGCGCCACATCTTGCGCCTTTGTTGAAAGGTCATACCTTGACAATCCTCGCTTATGGACCGACGTCGTCTGGGAAGACGCATACGATGGAAGGATCGCCCGCGGAGCCTGGCATTATTCCTCGTTCTGTGCGGGTCCTATTTGAGATGAGCGAGGAAGGAAAGGAGAGTGGGATGATTTCGAGTTTCGAGGTCCACATGAGTTACCTCGAGTTGTATAAGGACGATGCGTTCGACTTGTTGGTCTCTCAGCGGACTCACGAAAAGCTACCAATCAGAACGAATGCGAAGGGCGAGACGTTTGTAGTCGGACTGACCAGGGTACCGATCAAGTCCTTCGATGATTGGAAGAACGTATTTCGGTGGGACCGCTTTTTGTTTTGATTTCCTTCCCCCTTGCCCATCTGTGTGTGTCTAGAACCGCTTCACAAAATCGAACCACTGGCGCAACGCTCCTCAATCGCGCTTCATCTCGCTCGCATGCAATGCTGTCAATAGAAGTTGAACTAATTGCCGCACCTACATCAGAAACTCGAGAAATAAGTACGTCCAACTGCTGTTGTTATATCTGGACCTTGTTCATGATTATCTTTCAGCCTACAACGGCAAAATTAACTTGGTTGACTTGGCTGGATCAGAAAATAACAAGGTCGGTACAAAACGATGGAACGATTTTCACCCAGCTCATCTCGCATATCATTTCTCCGTTGCTTCGTAGCATACCGGGAACTCGTTAGCAAATCCAACCCGTCTCGCTGAATCTGCAGCGATCAACAAATCCCTATCAACGCTTGGGCAAGTTGTACATGCGTTAAATACCGGTGCCGTACGTACTCCCCGTTTCTTGATTAGTTCTTTCTTTGTTCGCTCAGAAAGTGAACGCAGTCCCGTATTCCCTACCGTGACTCTAACCTCACTCGCCTGCTCTCTGCTTCACTTGGAGGTAAAGCGCTAGGCAAGACGATTTTATTGTGTAATTTGGCTCCGGGAGTCAAGTTTCGATCAGACGTGCTGAACACGCTCAAGTAAGTTAACTTCTACGCGTTTCAGCATCTGTCTAAAGCCATCTTCTTGCTGATCAAAATACTCTATCTATCTATGTAGTTTCGCCTCACGAACGAAGAACATCGAGACTAAGACGGTCGTGAACGAGCGCGAAAAGCCTGCTCCCATAGAAGTCGTCAAAGAGAAGGACTTCCTCCCCACCACAGGATCGTTGATGAGACGGACCTCGATCCAGAGTCGACGTGTCTCTGCGTCACATATTCCTGCTCCCGGATCGAGGATTCCTTCGTATGGATCTGGTGGACACTCGAGGTTGAGTGGTTTTGGGCTCGGCCCTGCTGCTGGTGTTGGTGTTGGAGGTTCAGGCGTGAAGGCCGGGATTGATGAAGCGGATTTGAATGAGAGAATCAACAAGGCCGTCGAGGCAGAAGTGAAGAGAAGGTTAGAAGAGAAGGAAGCACAAAGGAGAGAAAAGGAAGAGGCGAGAGAGAAGCAACTTCAGCAGGAGAAATCGCGACCGCATATTACTCCGTCTTCTTCGACAACCTCCAAGCATGAGACTCATACAGCTGATGTGATTATGGAGATGGTCACAACTGGAAACGTCGAAGAAAAAGAAATGATAGAAGTAGAAGTGGAGGAAGCTGAGGTGGAAACCGAATTACTCGTGGTCGAAGCTATGGACGTCGATCAGAATACCTCGCCAATGAAAATAGATTCAATTGGGTCTGAGATCCATAGGATACCCGGAGACAGCGACGACAACAACAATGACGAGGAGAAAAGAAAGATGGACGATATAGAAAGAAATTATAGAGAGCACATTGCGCATTTGGAGGCCCAGTTAGCTGTTGCCTCTTCATCTACCTCTACTTCTGCTGCCGCTAGTACCAGTAGCAGTGCTACCATTGGAGATGGTTCAGCTTCAATGCTCACAGCTTCCACCTCATCCTCAACCTCTTTGTCAATATCGGCGTCTGGTCCAGGAATAGAGTCGATGTCGATGTCTTCCTCTGCGCACGTTTCTGGGACCTCAGATATTCTACGGAACTCGCAAATCTCTCTTACTACGGCCGCTGCGGGCTTGTTGGATTCCACAGACGATGCAGAGTCGGTGGATCGAATGAGTCTTGCTGAGAGGAAGAAGATGGGAAAGATTTACGTCGATCTTGCGAGAGGGTATAGTGCGAAGTAGGTTGTTTAAAATCATCTACTAGCTCAAGCTCACTGTTGATCCCTGGTGTAGAAACGATCTCGCCACGGCGCTTTCGCTCTATCGACATGCTGCGCTCTTTGTGCCAGATAATACGAGACTGAGTGAACGGTGCGTCCTCCATTTTTGTCTCTGCCCGTTCGCATCCTCCTCACTCACACTGCCTTTTCTTACGTCTGTCAAATTTGCAGCATTATCGACGTCGAATGGGCAGTCAGAAACGGCAAATCGTACGTCCCGACGCCGAAGAGACAGCACCCCCGGGAAGGCGAGGAGTTGAAGCTCAAGTCGAAATCGTCCAGGTCGTCTAAATCTCACCGCTCGTCTCATTCAATATCCAGACACGAGGAGATGAGCAAGGAAAACTCCAGCTCGAATCCCAACACTAATCTGGAAAGTCCCCGGAAATCAAGCTCTGCAGATACGAGACTCGAGCTTGAGCGGACCTCTCAGTTATCCTCGACAGGCTCGAAACGAAAACGCAGCGTCAGTCGGGAACCGATAGACCATTCAGATTCGGAATATGTCTTCATTGCTCCGCTGTCTTCTAGTACAAGCCATGGGCACGGATTTGGAAAAGACCTGGGAAACATCGACGAAGAAGTTGAGGCGGAAACCGAAACTGCTGAAGCCGAGGTAGATGAATTCGGGGTAACGCGAGTTGCAAAGGTTTTGCGGCGTTCACCTAGAAAGAAACAATTACCACAACAAATGTCGACTATCGCTACTCTTGGGACAATGAAAAGTCCCTCTACGGTTTCGGATAAACGAAAGATGTTGGGTATGAGTTTGCATGGAAAGACTGGAGTTGGCGGTGTGGATATTAGTGGGTCCGTGTATCGTACACCTTCGGGAGGAATAGGAGGACCAAATACGCCGAAGATAGGACATGCAAATGGGAGCGAGAGGAAAACAAGGAAGGTATCGGATTTGGTGTATAGTGGACTTGGGGGGCTTGGGTTCTCAGGACGTGGGTTTGGGCGTGATGAAGATGGGGTCGGGGACGTAGATGTGGAAATTCATGGGAAGCAGAAACGAGCACGATTGGATTGATCGGAGACAAGGTGATGTTAAGGGTGTTGTTGGGGTTCGATACAACATTCATGTTTTGCATTTTCCCTTTGAACACTTGTGTCATCTTCTTTCTCCCTTCTACATACATAGTTTCCTCTCTTCCCATTTCTTGTTTTGGTTCTTTCATTGGAATATTCTGTATCCGTTTATGTATAACCATGGCTTGTTCTCGCTCTAGTCATCCTTGTTATCTCGCACCTCGCTTTGTTTTTTTGCTATGGCTTGCTTTGTACTCACAGAACCGCTCTCAATGAGGACATTCGTACCTAGTAAGGTTTCATAGACCCCGTAGCTCAGTGGTAGAGCGTGAGATTCCAGAGTATTAGAGGTTCCTCAAGGTCATCCGTTCAATCCGGGTCGGGGTCAAGAGACATTACATTTTTCGTCCGTCGCTTTTTGGAATTTTTACATGATTATTCATGCCTTCTCCTTCACCACAAACAACGGATTAATCTTACATACTTTCTCTCACAATCCGTGTGCGAACTACATACAGTACGCAAGTACGACCATACACTTTCAAAAGCACGTAGGTTTGCGGATCGTTACGGAAGAACTAATTTCTAATTTTTTCTCTGCCTCGAGGCTGAAATGTTGACGGAAGCTACTTAATGGTTACAGCTGGGCAATTTCATCTGGGTTTTATTCCGACTTTTCGAATGCCATTGCTGGACCCAATGTCCTGTGCGCCCTTCTGAGCACTCTGTACTTGTTCCAGTCGGTTTGTCGAGGTTGAGCGCTGAGCGCCGTCGTAAACGTTCATAGGGCGGCGCGTAACGCGTGAGAACTTCGGTAGAATCTTGAATTGCAAATCTCAGGCTTGTTTACTTGTCTTTGTTTGCCTTTCCCGGATTGAATTCTGTTCTGATTACATACACAGGATATATACATTGGCGATTGAGGCACTCAACGACGTCAGCCTTCGTCATAACTCTCATCTCCTTTTTTTTCCAAACACCCTAAGAGCTCCAGACCGTACAACGTCACTCTCAACGAATTTGAAGAGAACGAAAGAGCAAGTGCGTCACACTTTGTATTCAAGGTAAATGCCCATTATTCGTTACATTTTCTTTGATTTTCTCGGTGCAGAGCTTTGTCGTCGTGGGGTATAACCTCGAAAGTGATGACGACACTATATGATTTACCTTTTTGTTTCTATGTTGTTGAGCTTATCGTCGTCGAATGTTTTTTTTGTTTGTTGTGCGCGTAGGTTGCATGCTCAATCCAACAAATAACCATCTGCACTTCCGCTCTCGTTCTACAATCTTGATTGTCTCGTACATTATATGTACAATGTATGAATGCTCACCATTGTCATATAGCAGCATATCATGGTCTCAAAACCGAGAAGCATATCAGGCTCACCACCACCCTCGGCGTCTTCATCATCTCCAAAGCAGCCTCCATCCATACAGCGTCAAAATCGTTCTGACTTTGACTTGGAACCAAATCCATTTGAGCAGAGTTTTGCTCCGAGGTCTGCCAACCACTCGAATGTCCGTGGAGAACGAGCATCAAAAGACAAAACCGGCAGAAAAGGAAAAAATAATAAAAAAGTCCAGATAGAGCATGATCTTGGACCTCCATCTAACGAATCCATCCTCACTATTAAATCCGGCTCATCTGCCGATCGGGACGCCGATGACCACCAGCAACGCCCGCAAAGCCGAACTGCATCCGTTCCCAACTCCAATGTCTCGAATAATGGTAGCATATCTCCTCGACCTATGCTCCCTCCAGTCGCAGCCATATCCTCTCCAGCTGATCAATCATCTTCATTTGGACATCCTTGGGCTGCAGCTGGCTTTAATTCGAGTTTGAGAAGTGGACCGTTGAGCCCAGCCATGCTAACTGGACCTCAGGATCCTAATGCCCCTTCCTCGAATCTCTCGAATCCTCTTTCAACTCTTGCACCACCAGGACTGCAATTCGACCCCTCTTCCTTCCGTACTGGTCTTACTCCACGCACGGGTCTGACTCCCAGAACAGGTTTGACTCCGGCACTGAATGGCTTGAGTGGGACGGGTCTTACACCACTCGTCGGTGGTCCAGTATCGTTCCCTGCTTCTCCAGGTACAGCTGCCTTCCTAGCTCTGATGCATAACAGTGGTATGAATAGCTTGAATGGCGTCAATGGTGTCGGACCTGGAGGCACCATTACACCTAATACGCTCAACGCCATTACTGGGGTCTTGAATAACTCTCAAGGCCAGATCCAAGGTCAGGGTCAGCCAGGGCAAGGCCAGCAGCAACAGAACTCTTATACCAACCCGCCCACAGTACCTTCACATCTCCATCACTCCCATACCCATTCGAATAACGAAAACGCCAACCCACACAACAATTCATACCTCGATAGCGCGAACAATGCTACGTCGACGGCTGCCAACGGTCTGTTTCTTCTCAGCCAAGCTCATCAGGAGCTTACCAAGAGAGAGGAAGAGCAGGCGAGAGCGAACTCCGCTCAGACAAACGCCAATGGGAATTCGAACGGTGCAACCGGTAAACGTGGATCTAAACGGAAAAACTCAGAAGCGATAAATGGCAATTCCGGTGCGATCACAAACCGGTCGTCGAAACGTACCAAACCCTCAGGTGGTAGACGAAAACAGGCGAGTCCGGAGTTTGAGGAATTCGATCCTGAAGATGATGGAGATGACGATGACGAAGACGAAGTGATGCGGGAGATGCAACAGCAGCAAACGACAACAGGAGGAAGAGGTAGGAACAAAAAGCCAGAGACAGAGGAAGAAAAGAGGAAGAACTTTTTAGAAAGGAATCGACAGGGTAGGTCATACCGTTTCGTCTTACGTCTTTGGCTTGTGAACCGTTTTACTAAATCATGACCCAATAGCTGCCCTCAAATGCCGACAGCGTAAAAAGGCCTGGCTCGCTCAACTGCAAGCAAAAGTCGAATACCTTTCTCAAGAAAACGAGCGACTAACGTCCGCTCTCGTTTCTTCAAGAGAAGAGATCTCCCGTCTTTCGGCCCTGGTGGGCGGAGCGGGCATCAGCAGTGTTGGTGTCGGAGGACCCGGAGCAGGAACAGGCGCGGGATTGATAAATTTAGGTAAGAGCAACTTCGTCCCAAGAAACGAGTTCCTGGAAGGGCTGAATAACGATGGTCTAGGAACAGTTTCATCCAATGCATCACAGACAGTGCCAATTAGTATGGGCGTGGCCACTTCTGGCAAGGGAGGTGGTGTAGCGGTTTCTCAGACTGTCAATGCGGGCGCGGCGAAGCAGACAGGCGGGTATGGGTATTGAGCAGTTTCCTTCGTTGAGGACACATCGTTCCTCGACCGTGTTGCGGTTCTCATGTCCATTCCTCATCGTCCCTACAAATCGTATGGTCCATCTTCATTCCACGATTATATGATCCTCCTCTTTTCTGCCTTGCTCCTCGCTCTCCTGTCACCTCGTTTGTCAATTGACAATGTAACCGCTCTCCAACTCCCAATCTCCTTCCGTCCCCCCATATCATGCCGAAACCGCCTGGTCAGCAGGATCTCCACAAGCATCTTTGTTTCTTGTATCCACATCTTTGTTCCTTTTTTTCGTCGGCTGTGGGTTTACATATGTTGGGCTTACGGCTTTTTTTTTGCGTTGTGAATGATGTATTCGACTCGATATTTCTCTCGATACGCCAAGTATATATCAGGACATGGTTTTTTTTCGTGGCTGTAGGCAGCAGTGACTTTTTATCGCACCTTTACTCCTCTTCCCGCTCTCCCTCTCCCACCCAATGTTTACCTACAAGTAGAGTAGAATATGAACGTTTTACTTTACCTTGATTTCGGTCCCGATTCGTTCTCATACTCCCTCCCCCCATCCATCGTTCCCTCATCTAAATCGTCTCCCACTCCCCCTCCGAGTGCCTGTTTTCTGTGTCCCATTTGTTTCCTGTCGATTGTCACAATATTCTTTCCATTCAGAATTTTTCCTCCCCGCCCTGTTTCCGTAGCCTTCTCCTCGAGCTCTCATCTCTCCTCACCCATTTGTCTCTTTCAAGTCCGATATCTTGAAAATCTAAAATTGTATGTACTCTATTCAACGGTAGAACACGCTGTTACGCCGTTATACATATACATAAGTGATCTATTGTAAAATCACAGAATTACAAGATAACATTCAGAAGACGAATATTTCTATTTCTCGGTGAGTACATACATACCTGTACAGACCTGTACATACACTGTAGCCTCGGATGCTTCTGAACCTTTCCGCTACTATAATCCCGTTGAACCGAAATTCTTGGTGTTCAAAAAATCTCCTCAAGTCATAGGAATAGTTTCCGATCCGTCACCGAGCATCCGGGACCTACCCTACTATGTAGTAGAATGCTGTAGCTTCATAGTATCGCCAGAAGGAGAGGGGAGGGACTTCTGGGGGAATGCGAGGCGCCTCCACAGACGGGCACTCGATATTGGTCGGAATTCTTTACACAGGGTAATTTTACTTCACTCTATACAAGGTAACCTGTTTGACCTTTCGTTGCTTGTCCTCCCTGCAGCATTGTGTACCGTGCGTACTGATGTGGTTGCAGAATGGGGCAACTAAATATAATCCGATATGGTGTAGTGGCTAACATTATCGCCTCTCACTGATCGAACGCGATAGCCCGGGGTTCGATTCCCCGTGTCGGAATGTGCCTGTCGGAAGCTATAGTTTTTTTTTTTTTTCATCGCAGAGAATTCATGGATCTTCACAGCAGATGTCTGTAACAAATAAATAACTACTCTACTTGCCTCATCTCAAGCCTTGTCCTCCTACCTCGATATCCTCAACCTCTAGAATTCGTCCCTCAATCAGCTTAGCAAACGTGTCCAACCCCAGTAACACTCCAAGATCAGGACCTTGTCCAGGAACGAATCGTGTGTGCGCAAAGTCGATGAGGGATAAAGCATATGGTGCAGACGGCTTCCGGCGATGGGACTTTGACGAAGGTTTGGGTTTCGATTTCGAAGCGATGTTAGTCTCGTCTGTTGACGCGCTAGGTTCGTGCGCAGACACATTCTCGTCGTCTTCGTCACTGGACGTGTCTCCTTCGTCATCATCGTCGCTGTCAAGATACTCACTATCATCGTCTTCATTCTCTTCGACATCAGCTTCCTGTCGTATTCTCTCCGTAATCTTGATTTCTCTCTCCTTCATCCACTCAACTCCCTCCCGTGCCCTCTGTTCGTCTCCTTCCCATAGGACCAACAGACTGCCTCCGACCATGCGTAGTTCGACTTCCTTCATGATTGAGTGGAGGTGTGTAAGCGATGTATGGATCGAGCGTAAGATCGGAAGAAGAAGGTCAGGAGGAAGACCAAGGTCTGTGCGAGGCTGTTTAAATGCGGAGTATGGGGCGTTCGAGGAAGCGGTCGAGGAGGTGTAGGCTTCGAATGGCGTGGATAAGCCGGAAGACGAAGTAGATCCCGCAGCAGACGTAGTTTCAGTGATAGCGATGGGGACAGGTTCACCCAAAACTGGAAAGACTCTCCTCGTTCCCTCAGGGAGCTGTTCTTTCTTGAGTGACTTGCCGTATGATTTAGTTGTAATTATTGGAGTGAGTTGTTTAGAAACTGCGGAAGGTTGAGGATGAACCTGTGACACAAAGAGTGTACAATGATTATTAGCAGGCACAAACGAATAAAAGTTGAAGGACAGTGCCTTACTTGAAATCCAGTTATTCGTACCCCGCACACTCCGCTGGTTGTTTCTCTGGCCGTCTTTATCATCCGAGCCTTCTTGGCCTCGCTGCATTCTACATCTAGCTCATCATACAAGACAGTGCCGAGCTTGAGGTCAAGGACGTTGGGTTTAGTGAAAGAGTGGAGCAGATTTGATAACACTAGATGCTGACGTGAAGATTTGTTTCGGGCAACAGGCTCAGCGTCGACCATAGCATTCGATGTATTCTTTAACATCATCGCTCCAATGCCTCCTTCACCAATGTCCTTCGAATCCACGTCCAACGTCTCGACATCGATATTTTCTTCCCTCAATGTCCCATAGAAGTCTGGCACGAATCTGCTCAATCGTTTAATGTTCTTGAGAGCGTGTGCAGTCCGTTCGTTTGGTGCTCCTTCATTGCCAACCCCATCTCCCTCACCTCCTGCCAGACCCATTGTATCCATAGCCCTGGCTTGCGCCATGAGTGTGTAAAATTCATGTTCTAATGGTAACGCCGGTTTGATGAGGAGTGACCCATCTTCGGTCAATTGGATCGAGTTTGGATGGCCGCCTACTTGAGAAAAAGACATACAGCTTAGGAGCGTTCAGGAGGTCAAAGACATGTAACATATATCGCAATGTTACATACTGACACTGTACAGCAACTAATCAAGTTTTTAAAAATACAAAAATACAAACACATGACCCCGACCCGGATTGAACGGATGACCTTGAGGAAATTCAACCTATCTGGAATCTCACGCTCTACCACTGAGCTACGGGGTCTGTGATCGTATTGCCCAAATTGTTTTTACTGAATTGATTAACTGGATAGTTCAAATTTAGTTTCTATGTTTGCTACCTACGAAATCCGAGCATACTTTCCTTGGGTTTGAGAGGATTGTATCTCGCAAATCTCGGTGTTTGCCGATATGCATTGAATGTTGATCAATCGATCAATTTTCCCATCGTTTCCACCAATTTCTTCCGTTCCTTGCTTTGTCTTTCCATCTTTCCTCTGTCTTCGTCGTCTTTCGGATTCTCCAATCGACCACCTTCGCCGCTTCTCTTCTGGCCTACGTTGCTAGTCTCCTACACGCTCCTTTGCTCAATCTACGTTCTTTGATTCGGCTTGTATAGGGTTTTAAATCTACCCTATAACTCCTCACACACCTCACTACCACAAAACAGCTATTTGTTTGGCCCTTCGATTTGTTACGGTGTTAGAGACAGAATTACAGAACACGTAGTACATCGAAGATAGTATGCCTCGTCAACCTGGTATGCAGAACATTCGTTTATTGGTCCATGCCTGTGCTAATTTGACCTGCTGCTGTGCTTTCAGCGCCTCGTCTTCACCGCTTACCACAGCGCTTGGACTATACTCTTATACCTGCGCCTTTAGGTACAATGATAGCTTCAACCCAAGTCCTTAACTACCATACTCACTACCATCAATATTTCCCATTCGTTCATGACAGATCTCTCTCTGCCGCTCGCGTCAGAAAAGTCACCTCTGCCAGCAATCATAGTCACCCCGTCCTCGCCTTCCTCTGCACACGACTACAGTATTGCTTTCCTTGCCCCGCCAAAAGAACCTGGTTTCTTCGAAAGGCTCGGCGCTAGACTGTAGTAAGTCTTCCTCATTCATTCATGTTGTACGCATAACAACCAGTTTATACTTTCTCTTTTTTCTTCTGACCTAGTTGGACCAAAGCCGCTGTCGCTGCTGAATCTAATCCTAACGCCTCATTCGGTCTCGGTTTACGCGCCCAAACCGCTCGTACATTACTCATCCTCTTCCTCATCCTCTTCGTAATGCTCACCCACGTCGTCACTCACCGGATGGCACAGACGTCGAGACGGCCGCATTTGGATTTCTCGGTGCAAGATTCGAGCCCGGCTCCCGTCGCTGCGTCATATGTATTGGGTGAGATCGGTGTCAGTGAGGGCATGGATGGGTTATCGAATGGTTCAGGTGGTGTCGATCAATTTGAGGGATTTGAAGGACCTGACTCCGTCCCTTCCTCGGCAATGGAAGGTGGGCACACAAATGGATTTGGAGGGGTCGCTCTAGGTCACGGACACAGACACGCCCATGGTGGTTGGTTCGATCTCAGTCGTTATTGGGGTGATGACCAAGAGGAAGAAGACGAAAAGAGAGACTTCATCGTTTTTGCCTGAGAGGTTTTGAGTAAGCTATCCCTGCCGTCTTATCTTCTGTACGTACGTACGTACGACCTCCTCCACGCATCGCCCACATTCTTGTCCCTACTTCATTTGGTCCGAGACCCTCTCCTTCGGTCCGAGACCTGTAGACTTGCTTGGTTCGAGCCTCCCTTCCCCATCTACTGATGCCTCTTCCCTACACCTTCTCCTCACTCCCACCCTTCCTACTCCTCCTCCTGCACCCAAGTCCCTACGCATGTTCCCGATAGGGAACCTGCACTTACTTTTTCGTTTGGTTTGGTCATTATCTGGGTATATATAAAATTAAAATGTTCTCTGTTTACTTTATACTTAACGTCTGTTATTTCAATGTCGCCATTGACAAATCGTTATCCGTTGGAGTTAATGAAGAGCCTTTTTCCATTCTTGTTCACCTTGCGTGCAAAGGTCATTTGTTACGATGCTGCGGAAATTTTACCCCACGCTTTCGGTGCTTGTGCTTTTTGTTCCCTGTCCTTATGTCTGTGCCACTACACTTGTGTGCTGTGTGCCCAGGTAGGTCGGCTGGTATTCATGCCTGGGCGCCAGCCGACTTTGCCTGTGCCATTGCCTGTCTGGCCACACCTCTTCTTTGTAACTGTGCTCCTTGTTCACTTCTACCTCATGCTTCTGTGCTGCCGTGTATTCTACCTCATGCTTCTGTGCTGCCGTGTATGACCTACAGTATGTTCTACCGTTCTTATATATCTACTACTCCGACTCTGACTCGCACCACGTTTGCTCTTGTAGATGGTACTCCTTTTTGTGAAGTCAGTTTCACTATACAAGATTGAGAGTCATCATTAATATGAGAGTTAGTGCAGAATTGATTTACAGACGATTGTTCAATCATCGGCAAGCCAAGGGTCTTCAAACAGTTCTCGTGCATTCGCTCGTTCCTCTGGAAATCAGTCGCAGGCATCGGCGTAAAAACTGCCCTGCGGCTTTCACACCATTTTTTCCGAGGTCAACGAAGGCAAACTCTGCAAGAAGCTCTTCTAGAACCCAAGTAGGTTCTTTATGGGACGTGAAATTTTTCCAACATCCTAGACCACGCATCAATCCAAGAGGGACACACGCAGAAGGAAAGATAACCCATGACCTACCATCCGAATTGAAAAACTTTTGACTGTATTTGCACTTGGAAAGGAAAGTTGGGTCAAAGTTAGTCGCAAGAGCTTCTGTCATCCTCACTAGATGATCTTCCTCCGCACCCCACTTGTCACGGTGACTGGAGAACTCAAAGAGCCAGAAGCGCATAAGAAACTCCGTAACTTACAGAATTTAGACCTATGGTGGCAAATTACGCATAGAAAACAGATCTCACTAGACAACCTAGGTTCCAGATGTCTGCCGATGTCCCCCAAGGGTAACCGAGGATAGACTCGGGTGATCTAAGCGCATCTGGCTGAATCAATTACTGGAAATGCCGGTCTTGCCAATGAGCTCAAGTACAAAGTGTGGTGAGCTATCTTCATTCAATGTTAGTAGCAAACAACCTACAGTAACCAGCATCAGCAGGTACAGCTTTGAGATGTGTAGTAGGTGTTGTATCTTCCAGTGATAGGGGAAGAGGTTGAGAAAAGGACGGTACAACGATGACTCCTGGGCCACCATCATAGGAAACGGAAGGTTCAGTAGTGAGTCCATGAGCCACTATAGCTTCAACATCTGAAAGACGAAACAGGATGTTATCGTGTTTGATATCTACAACACAAAATCATTATTTTTCTTTAGAGACTCCATTCAATGTCACGTACCAGTATGCACAATCCCAC